TGTTTATTATTGTGCTTTTTGACAAATGATGCCAAACACTGAAGAGAGATGATTTTATTATGATTGATTGTATCTTGTCATGGTGATTGAAGTGTTTTCAATCTTGTTCTACTTTTGATGTAATTAATGTGAGTGAGCCCACACAACTCTGAAGACGCTTATTGACTTAAGTATTGACTGAAATATTCTTTAGACTAATGTTAATTGATTATCATAAATTGATAAAAGGGTGGATCTGTAAAGGAATATTTTGGTCTTGTTAAAGTATATAGAGTTTAGTGATTTGTCCTCGGGAATCTGTTTAATGGTTAAAGTGTATTCCTGCCTGTAATGTGATCCATAGCTTCTCAGGAAGACACAGGTCAAGAGGTCATCTGATGTCTTGTGGGGGAGAAGCTTGGCCCATGTGGGTTTACAATGCAACGAGTCTTTGTCTCGACATCTGGCATGCATTAAAGGAAAACCCGCGTGTTTTAGGGCCCTCCTCTTCTTGTCTGTATAGTTGGTTGCTTGGCGCTGAGTTCAGAGTTTGCTGGGATCTTACAGGAGAACTGTGATATGCTGTGAACTCTCCGGCCGTTCAGGCTCTCAATAAATATCAGTGTATTGACAGGCAAATCCAGTTTCACTCATTTCATGATTGGCTCAACATTGCTGCAAAGAAGTTTTTACTTCACAGTCTGGTCTTCAACCTTCCTAAATTCTCCCACACCACTCCGCTCCTCCGCTCCCTTCACTCCACTTCGAGCGTTAGAACTATTAACGAAGCACTTTTATACTAATAAAGGACTGGCTTACCTAAAGCCAGTTGAGTAGCACTTGAAATGTTTGGCTCTATGAAACCTGATGTACTTATATGATTCTGTTTTCTTCAAGGTTGTGTCTTCCTGGTCGAATGTACTTATTGTAAGTCGCTTTGGATAAAAGCGTCAGCTAAATGCAATGTAATGTAATGTAATGAAAAATGTTGATCAGTGTTTCCCAAAGCTCAAGGTGATGTCCTCAAATTTCTTGTTTTGTCCACAACCCAAAGATATTCAGTTTACTGTCAGAGGACTAAAGAAAGCAGAAAATATTCACATTTAAGAAGCTGGAATCAGCTTCTTTTTTTTTATTAAGATGACTCCAATTAATTGATTATCAAAATAGTTGGCGATTAATTGAATAGTTGACTAATCGATCTATCGTTGCAGCTCTACTTAAAAATGTCTCTTCCTCTTTTTCAGACCCACACTGCAGTTAGCCGTGTAATTGGGATTATTGAGGCAACTGAGGGAGAGTCCTTCCCTAACAAGGAGAAGGTGCTACAGGCGTATCTCTCCTTTGAAGCCTTCTCTGAACATGACTACACATATGCCTGTGTTTCCTGTGGGTATCACCCTGCAACAGTTGTCATGGATCTTCATAAGAAGGGCATTTTCAGTATGCCTCAGTATTAACTGAGTTGAATTTTCTATACAATAGAAATAAGTCAATCATAACTGAAATACATTGCAAGATCTCAAAGCTTTTTAAAAGTGTTGTAGCAGTGGTTTATCGTGTTTTGTTCAGTTTTGGTTTTACATTTTCAGTTTCATTCAACTGATTTTCTTCTCAGTCAGTGAAATCCAAAATCCACCTCAGCAGTATGATGGTAGAGTCAATGTGAAAGACTTCTGGGATGCAGTGACTATGGAAATCCTAAGCCGTGGTTTCTACCCTAGTAACTTATCTGTATCATCAGTTTTAAAGCAAGGAAATGCTGTGAAATGGTATTTCAACACTAGATCACACAATCTAGGGCAATTTGCTGATGCATCCTGGAAGTTATGATTCTATGGAAAAAAGTAAATTACACTTTATATACTTAAATGTTTGACATATATTTCAGGTGACGGCAAGAATCCTTTCATTGTCCGTCCAAGTTATCAAAACTGGGCACCGTGGATTGGACAGCATACCAGACAGTCAGATATTGTGTTCAACACGGAGTATGCCAAGATCCATGTGCCAGATGTCTCCACTGATGCGGACGAGCGGGTGACAGAAGAGCGACTGGCTGATGAGGTGTTAAACCTAAAAGTAGATCCAGAACCTCTATCTACCTACCTGATACAATTTTAAAAGTAATGCGAGTCAGATGCATCTACTTTTCATGTCACATTAGGTAGCAGAGGTTAGGGCTCTATGTAAGCAGTGTGGCCTCAAAAGCAAGGGCTCTAAGATGGACCTTGTCCTTCGTCTTCGTGAGAAAATGGCCAGCAGGACGACATATAATAAAGTGTTTGAGAAAATAGGGGGTGCCTCTGGTTAGTGATCCCATCAGCACATAATTATGTCTTATGCTAGCTTGTCTAAATCAAATTGCATGATTACCATGATTTTCTTTCTTTCTAGGTGGTTGGGCTGTAGTAATGTGCCCATGTGGAGTCGTGTATTCTGTAAAGTTTAATCTCAGAGCTGAGAGTCCCAGAGACTTCACCGACATGCTTCTGTCATGGAAACATTTTCCAAATGTTACAGTGTATGACTACGCAAGGGGGCTGGCCAGTCATGCCAACTGCCGACAACCACTGGATCCTCCCTTCCATCCACATGAGGGGAGGTTACTTCATCCCTCACCAGAGAACATCAAACTGGCTGCAGAGAGGAAGCTTAGGGTAGATTTGGCATGGCTTAAGCACAGGAAAGAGGAAGAGGACAAGGACTGCCATCCAATCACTGGATCGTCTGATCATTATGCTTTGCTTGATGTTTTCCATCAATGCAACAGCAAAGATGACAGGGATCTCCTTCGGAGAATTGCACTTGTTCCAGAGCTTGCTGGGCACATTAACAGCCATTGTGCTGAGCAGTTATTCTCCGGGATGCGGAAAAACAATTATTTCCTTAATATGCTCACACCCTCTGCACACATCTTCCTACAGAGGAATATCTTGCACCTCTACAATGTGGACCGAAATAACAGAGTGAAAGAACAGTTCAAGAAAATTGTGGGAAGCAATACTGCGTTTAGCCTTGATGTTAATGGAAGAATCACCTTGGGTAATCATGAAAAGCTTGCTCTGTGTGCATGTAATTCTGTATTCAACTAATATGGTCTATGTATTTGAAATTGATAGAGGATACACATAGTGCATGTGGTTATCTATGACAGTCTTGGTATTCTTTTCTCAAATGAAGGGCATCAAAGCAAAGAGACGATGACCCCACAACTGACTCTTCATACAGTAAAGGCCCTCCAGTCCTGTTGGGGACAGAAGCTGACTCAAACACAGGAAAATATGGTGAATAGACTGTTTGAATCTAGAACACACCATGGAGATTTTAAAAATAATTGTCTAAATGTGTCTATCTGTCAGCGTTCACAGGTATTGGACAGCAGAGGAAGCCCATATGAACGCCTTGCCTACACTGTAAACAATTACCAGCATTTCACAACATTTAACAGTATTATTTTACAGTGACATATTGTAATCAAGGCCCCCTGTAATATCCCAACAAATACATGTAAAAATGACTGTATCCTTGTGATTTCACAGCATTTAACTATTATTTCACAATAAAATACTGCAATCAAAATCCTCTGTAATATCACATCAAATGTTGTAATATCACAACAACATTGTAAAAATTGCAAGGATTTCACAGCATTTAAGAGTATCATATTACAGAGAAATATTGTAATCAAAAGCCCCTGTAATATCACAACAAAATATCTATAAAACAGTAGAATTGGATTTCACATTATTTAACTATTATTTCACAGTAAAGCACTGTACTCAAAATCATCTTAGCACAACCATGATAGACTGTATATAAAGAGCACAACTCATTACTGTAAAATTTGAATTGTGCACTATTGCACATGTGCAGAATAGACTATTCTAATCGGCGTGTGTCCTGGCAACCCTGTCTCCTAAAAATTACGTTCCCACAGAACTAAACTGCATTCTCAATTACGTTTAGCTAGAAATGTATTTTTACAACGATTCCAGGGATGCCTGACTTGAGTTTCTAGCACCAGGGAAAGTGGAAAAAGTGCCCCAAATCAGCGTCTTAATTTACCCAGGGCCTAGTGCTTGGCTTTCGGCATGAAAATTCAGGAAACTCCCCTGAGTATTTTATTACATATCTCAACTTTGGAGAGGAGTTGGGGGACAAACGACACATCAAATCACATCTCCACATCAAACCAAAGCTAACTAGAATACTCTTGTCTGCCTAGCATGCGGGAAAATTGGCGTGCTCTGTCACCACAAGAGCGAGAGTGAAAGCGGCATAATGGAAGGCTTTGTCCCGTTTTAAGCCGTAACGTTTGACATTCGGAGCAGCAGAGGGATGAATCTGCATGTACTCTTCGAGGCGATTCCAACGACACCAAGCTCAAAGCTGTCAGACCTTCCTTTGTGCCGTCTAGAGTACTGAGAGCCATGAAAACATGACCTTTAACCTTAGTTTGAGACTTGGTTGAAGGTCACCGCGGCCCCAAATTTTGCAAGCGGGTTCCACACAAGTGAAGGAACACACTCTCAAAGTCTCGAAGCGCCAAGCACCTTTTTTCAATTTTTTTCAATTTTCTCTCCCTCCCTCACCAAAGGGTGTCCAATCTTTAGCTCTAGACAGGATTTTGTGAGAGTTTGACATTAGATTGAAAAAAAAATGTCTGGGTGAGTTACGGTTCCCATATTTCATATTTCTTATCTGGGCCCTATTTAGAGGCCCCTGGTGAAAAAAGTATCTTTCCAGCCCTTTCCAAAGTCAGGTTATTAAAGATGAAAGATTATTCAACAAAACATTTCAATAACGTGCTTTAACCACTAGGTGTCCCTATCTACCAATTGGATCAAATATATAAGTCAGCCGAATTAGTGTTGATACTGAAAGGAGACGTATTGTGTGAAAATAAATGGAATATGTTGTTTAATTGCTGATATATTTATATTTATTTTATTCTGCTGAGAAAGTTGAAGATCACGTGACATACACGCCAGAAAAAACGTCATTTCTGGATATTTGTCCACTGGTTTGCCTGTTAACCGTAGGTGTCACGTTTGAAGGGACGAAACGGAACGTCATCGCTCGAACGGCCAATCATATCGCGCATTGAGGAACCCAAAGCCTCCTAACAGAGATGCCTCGATCCTTTCGAAAATTCGCACGGAGGCAACAGTCAAGGTGAACATCTGTGAGTTTCTCCAAAGCGGTTACCATCGGTAAACAGCAAGTAAGTACTGCCCATAATGTGGATTAGTGGTGGATATTATGTGCTTTCGATTGTGAACGCCAGTGGAGTAGTGTCGTGTTGGTTTGTACATGGTAGCGAATAGATAGCTAGCGTTAGCTAGTAACATTAGCTTGATAGCAGCCATGTCCACCTTCAAGCAGGTGGCCTTAACGTTAGCCTAGCTAGTGCTAGCCAGCGCCGTATATGGCTATGGTAGATGGCTCTGGTGCTAGCCAGCCAACTGTTGCTGACTGTTCCATTTGTTGGCAGAAGGCGTATGCTGTATTCGAATGAAAGAGCGAACAATGAATACTTTAACCGGTAAGACTGGTATAAGCTAGTTAGCTTAGCATTGCTGCTAAGTTTGAATTCTGACGCCATGGTCTAACTAACTTACTAGTAGGTTAGCTGATGTTAGCTAGCTAATGAATGTTTCTTGTGCTAGGTGCTTGGTGGTTTCATGACATTGTCTAATCAAATTAGACCTAATCTAAATCGGTGTCAAAGTTGGTAACGTTAGTTGCTCTTACAATGTTCTTAATGAATTCGTCACAGACCCTATTGCACATTGGTGTCACCACGTGTCATCACTAGGGCTGCAACACACGACTAATTTGATAATCGATGAATCTATCGATTCATCGATTATTCGGATCGTTAAGGTTTTAACTGTACTACTCAGGGTTCGTACGGGTGCTTGAAATCCTTGAAAATGCTTGACATTTGACGTGGTGTTTTCAAGGTTAGGAAAGTGCTTGAATTTTGGAAATGGTGCTTGAAATTGAGATAAAGTGCTTGAAAATGTAAATGCTTTACTTTTACAATAAATTGCTGTCTGACTGAATAGTTCGCTTTTTAGATTAAAAGAAAAGAATTGCTTCGCTTCTACATAAAACAGCTCCGCTGCACCTTCCCGCGCTATGCGCGCGACCTGCAAGTGTTTGTGTTACGTGTGACCTGGGCATTCTGATGAGAGTGATAGATGACTGTGTGCCAGGAGGTTGCAGTTTCAACGAGCGTTGGCTAGTAGAAGACAAATACAAGCCATGGCTAAGACGAGGGTCAAGCCCACGAGTAGCCTCCTGCAAAGTTTGCAAAAATAACGATGCGAGAGTCTGCGCTGACGAGCCACATGAAAGGTACGCCGTAGTAGAGCATTTTAGATTAGGCTAACGTTGCATGTTACGTTTGTTTAAGCTAACGTTAGCTAGCTGAATAGCGATCTCGATTGAGGGATAATAATAATTGCAGGGGACAATCATTTCAGAGGAGCGTATCTATGTTAATATGTGCGTTACAGACGCCACCCTGTGGCGAGCAAAGTTTCAATCACTCAATACTTTCATCAACACTACTCTGGATGATAAAGGATTACCAAACTCTCTTGCCTCTTCACAATGTTTACAGATTCGCAATGTTTATAGGTTTGAAATGTTTATAGGTTATTGCAATGCGTAATGTTATTTCTCTGAAAACACAATTTTTTAAATCTTATTTTACTTCTATACTATTCTAGCCTAAATTAACTTCTACTTTTACCTGCATTTTGTACACTGTCCTGTTTTGCACTTGTCCTGTCTTGTCCCTGCACCCTGTCCAATGTTGTCTTTATGTTAGTACCTACCAGCAACACATTTCTAGTATGTTGTAAAACTACATGGCGAATAAACAGATCTTGCTCTAGGCCTACTGATTGCCTGCCTGGTGTTGACCGACGCGACGAGGTGTATTGCCTAAATCCAATCCACGGATTGCTTCCTAGTTGGAGGTAGGCCTAGTATGCAACACAGACCGTAGTTTATAGACTGTGCATAACTGCAGTCCCCAGCTCCAGTGCTTCCCTCCATGAAGTACTGAAGCTCAGACATTTGTTACCTGTGCAGCACACCTGAGATTAATCACTTCATCCAATACTGTTTGACAGTACATTTATGTGAGCTTACCTCTCTTGCTTCCCTGTGGTGGTTTTTTACTGCCTCTATTCCAGATTTGACATCCTCGTGATCCTGGTGTGCGTGCGCCATCCTCGAGGAAATTGCTAGTGACTGTTCGAGTGTTGTTGCAGCTAAGGTAGTTAACATTTCGATATGATTGTGACTGCTGTCTCGTCTAAATGGGATGCTCGACTACCTGACCTTGAACACCTTTACAACATGCTCATGTTCATAATCTGCATGCAAACTGAAAAATTCCTTTTGTTGGTTGCCTTTGTAATTTCTCCTTTCTCTGGTCTCCTTTTTTCTAGGTCATCAGAGAGGACAGACCATCCTGCATTTCTGTCAGAAACTGGACAACCCGAAGATCAGGGAATTTCTGGCCAGCTATGATCCAGAGGGTTCGGAGAAGGCTGCCTGCATCCTCCAGCTCCTTATGGTCTACTTTAAGGAGCCTACGGAGAAACTGATGCTCGAAGTTGATGTAAGTTTTTTAAAATGTATTTAAATATTTAAAATGCTAAACGAGTGATTACATTAGGGGCAACTGAAGCTCAGTTGGTAGAGCTGGTCGTTCATCGACTGTAGGGTTGGTGGTTCGAATCCTGGCTCTGACTGTCCGCATGTCGGAAGTGTCCTTGAGCAAGACACTTAACCCCCAAGTTGCTCCAAATGGGCCGAGCTGATCTGTGTTGAGCTGTAGTGCGCGGATTAGCTGTTGCCTTAGCATCACCCAGGCGGGGGCTACACATTGGTTTGCGGACGTCCATTTGTAAGCGCTTTGGGTGTCTTGAAAAGCGCTATATAAATGCAAGTAATTATTATTATTAGACCATTTATTATGTTCTGATTTACCTCTGACCAATGAACGATCTTCATCCTTGCATAATGTTAAATCTATGCTATTGTGTGTTACTTTGTTACAGACCTGTGCCACTGCTGCTGATGTAGTGAATACTGCAGCACTCCCAAGCACCCCCTGCTTGATCATTCAAGGTAATGTAATGTTCAGGGATGGGATTGTTCCTGTTTATACAGGATTTCCTGCTTTTCTGACCTGAATGGCTAGACTTCACTGCTGCTTTTATTCTAGTTATATAATTTTTCTTAGGACATCCCTGTTCTGCTCCACCATCGATGAGGTATAGGATACTGAATAGTTACTCTAAAGAGCTTAAGTGTTCCTTTGCATCAAGGGGAGAATCTGACTGAAGGCCTTCCATCTCTCCTGCACTCCATTCAAGTCCAGTCTGTGAAACGACACTTACGATACTCTGACGCCATATGTTTCAGCGATTCGCGTTAGTTAAAATCTATAGCCTGTTTCAATGATTCAGGGGTCTGACGAGTTGACATGTTCTCGTTCTAGCTGGGCTCGTAACCATCTACCCATAGAGGAATGAGGTTAAACCGTCTATCCATAAAGGCAGAGGGAGGAGGGCTAGGGAGTTGCTTTGTCGTTCAGCCAGATTCTCCTATCTGCACAAACACCTTTGATGCTTTTACAGTGACTGTTAAGTAGCCTACCTCACTGATGGTGGAGTAGAAAAGTGCTGTCCACCTGGAGGGTTCTGTGTCATGTCCTTGCATGCTCTGCACTGTATATTTTCCTGCTTTTTGGTCCTTGGCAATCATGAATGTTACTCGGATCTGGTATTGACATCTCCAGCTCAAGTATTATTTTTGATTGATTCTGGGAATGTACCTATCCACAATAACGCATGACGGGGTATCTGTTCATTTCAGGTGACACAATGAAGCCTTCTGGGTGGATGCTATCGAGGGACAAGTGGTAATGGGCCCACACCCATTTTTTTTGCATGGGCTAGCTGCTTTATTCAGCAGCTACTATGTCTTCAACCTCAAATATCCCGTTAGATCATGCACACTGGAGTTCATCCAAAGGTATTGTAACACTCAAACACATGATCAATGTCATCAGTAAGACTTGTCATGCAAATTTGTGTTTCACTATCTTGCTATTAAGTCCATGCCTTTCTACAGAGGCTATAAAGTAGATTAAATGCTTTGAGTATGAAGCCTGGAACCAAATATGCGAATTGGGACCACACCATCACTTGATATTGCTGGGCTAGCTTGTTAAAAAATTGACATAATGGTTTAATTCACAATATAGTATGGCTTCAAAATTCAGATAAGTAAGTAAACCTTATGTTAGAGGTACCTGAGGCACTCTGCTAGGCTACAAATAATGTTATTGTGAGAGGATGATCCAACAGGTTTGTACTAGTAACAGTCGGTGTGGGAAAAGACACAGGTGAACACCTTGATAAATGCTGCCTGCAATACATGAGTGTATTTAAAACTGAAACTTATCTTTGCTTATTAACAGATGCTTCTTGGGCATCAACCCGGAGAAAGGCTCCAAGGCAAAGAAGCGAAGCTCCATTAACCCTCACGTGAGCACCCTTCACCGGAAGCTGATAGACTTGGAATGGTCTGCATAGACTGCATGGTGTGCGGGGACAAGTTTAGTGGGAAGCATTACGGTCAGTTCACCTGCGAGGGATTATTTGTTTAAAGGATCCGTTAAGGGTTCATCTGTTTTTTATGGATAGTTGAGGTGAACTAGTTCATGTTCCTGTTTGTTTACTCTGTTGTTTATTTTGTCAATAAATATGCCAGTGGGCTTCCATTGATTTTACCTCATTTGTGCGTTTGGTGTGTTGTTTTTAATTGTACAATAACATTACGTGCATTTTTATAGTGCAGCTCCAGTACTTCCAGGAGGAAGCTCACACTTTGGTTTCCTGTTAAACTTGGACAGGAAACCATTGTATGAGCTTCCTCCAGGAAGTACTGGAGCTGGGAATTACAGTTATGCAAGTGTATCATTGTAAATTACTGGCTACTCCTGCAGTACTTTCACAGTACACATTGTACATTCACAGTAAATTACTGGCTACTCCTGCAGTACTTTCACAGTACACATTGTAAATTCACAGTAAATTACTGGCTACTCCTGCAGTACTTTCACAGTACACATTGTAAATTCACAGTAAATTACTGGCTACTCCTGCAGTACTTTCACAGTACACATTGTAAATTCACAGTAAATTACTGGCTACTCCTGCAGTACTTTCACAATAGAAATGTAAAAGTACAGGCCCTTGTTGTAATTAATGTACAACAAAATAATGTAATTCCCCAGTAACATACTGTAATATCACAGTAATTGAAGCTGTGAAGTTACAGTATACAGTTGTACCTTTACAACAATGCATTGTAATATCATGGATGTGAAATTACAATACATTGCTGTGAAGACATTCACAGTAAATTGCTGTGAACCTTACTGTGAAAGTCATGCAACAAGTTGCCAGGTAATTATTGTGAATTCACGGTGGATATTTTTACAGTGTATGTAAACAACCAGATCCTTACATGCACTGACTTTTGGACTGTGGGACGACCACAGGATGTTGAAGGGATGGTAAGTATGGAAATAATGCATAGACAAAGTGTTGTTATTTTATCAGTACAAATGTAGGCAATGTTGCCATTTTCCTCTTCTTTTACAGATCCTAAACAGCTGCCTCAAGGTCATAGAGAAGCTGGCCAATGACCAGGTAGTGAAGTTGCATACCTTTTCCAATATAAATGTATCCCCTTCTGTTTATAATCTTTTCTGGACTGAAATAACAACTGTCTTAGGCCTACAGGGCATCAAAGTGTTCTCGGCAAACAGCTATGTCGTTCACACTTGGTTTATACCTATGTTGCAGAATCCTGAACAGCATCTCCCGGTACTTATGCGTATTATCATTATTATATTTGCTGGAATCATATGAGAATCACTGAATGTAAACTATTCATTTTACCATCTCTCACAAGGATAAAGCAGACGATTTCCGGTGGATTCTGGTTCCTGTGTGGCGCCCAGGGCATTGGACAATATGTGTCAGTGATGTTATGGTTTAGGTGTTTTGCTTTCTCCTCCTCCCCTCTGTCTTCTCTCTCTCTCTCCTGTGCAGTGTGGTGATCGTTAGAAGGCTCAGCTGGTTCACAATGAGGAGCACCTGTACTGATCTAATCAACTCCTCCATAAAACGATAGTTACGGCTGTAACTACGGTTCTATGAGTCCCGGATGACCGCCAGAGGGCGGTGCTTTAAGCACTGGATATGTCCATCGCGCGCATGTGCAGCTCGAGTACCAATAACAACAAAGTCACCTGTGACCCACGTGACACCGGCTATATCAGCCGGTGTCGTCAGAGGATCTGTTCCCAGAATCTTCTCGCGAGCACACAAGAATTCTGAGTGACAGGGAACTCTGGCGTTCATCCGGGACTCACATACCTCATTCACACCAACGCAACTCCGGTTCAAGCTCCGTGCTAGAGCTTTTCAGGTTCAGAACCAGTTCTTTGGTTTAGCTCTGGCTCTCTTCACACCGCCCATAGTCCGACTGGTAATGCGTTGTTGCGTCATCGTTTGCGTCATGACGTAACCGTTTGCGTGCCTGCTTCATAAAGCCAAACCGTGTGGATGAAATCAGTTGCATTAATTTCTTATGGCTCTATCTGCAGCTTTTCCGGAGTCATTTCTGTGGTTTAGTTATATTCTTATAAAAAAGTGTACTCGTGTCAATAAAGGTTTTTTTAAAACACAACTGCTTCCGAGGTCGGTCTTATTTCTTAAGGTGGACTGAACCATGAGTGTGGAGTAACGTTGTATCTTTCATTTAAATGAACTGTAACCTTCACCCAGGTATGTAACAGCTGTTCTCAAATGAACACGTGAAGTAAAGTTTAATATTTATAGTTTTATAATGAGTTATAATGAGAGGTGATCAACGTGAATGCTCAGGTTCCACCTTAACACGCAGACACGTTGCTTCACCATGAGCAGAAACCTTTATATATACAGTCTATGGCAGAAACACTGAAACTCTTGTTAAGTTTCTCCATCGTTGTGTACAAACTGGATGAAACGCGGAGTTTTTGTTGTTGTTCAGGAGTTGATCTGTCTCTGCCCCCGCCTCGACGTAAGCGTGACGTATGTGGTGCTTTGCTCTGGCCGGACAATTTTTTGGTGCTTGAAACGAACCGGATTCCGGAGCTAAGAGGCTGCTCCGCTGCGGTGTGAAGAGGAAAACCCGGTGCTGAATGAGGTAATAGAACCGTAGTTACAGCCGTAACAATCGTTCTATTTCGTCCCTACTGACCGCCTGTGCCACTTGGCGTCCAAGTGAAGGCTGTTCAGCCACATCTGCATGGGGTGCAACGACAGCGGGCCTAAGGGCCCAGCGGCCGAGGCAGCTGCCAGTCTGCCCAAGGGCCGGAGGAACTGAATATAAGGCACCATCTTGCCCGGCCCACGTGGAAGTAGGCATCCCTCAAGTCCACGGTTGAGAACCACTCCACCTGTGCATATGCAGTGGTCAGCATATAGAATGGCAGCACCTTCGGGAATCTGTTGATTCCTCTGAGGTCCAAGATCGGGCGAAATCCGCCGACTTTCTTGCTCACGAGAAAGTACGCCGAGTAGAACCCCCTGGGCTAAGCAGAGGGTCTTACTGGCTTGATTGCGTCCTTGAACAGAAGGACGGACAACTCTTGGGCCAGAGCTAGGGCCCCTGCCGGATCGCTGACGACTGTCAATTAGACCCAGCCAAAGGCTAGGGGCCGGAGCTGTGGTCCGTACCCCTGGGTTAAGGTGAAAACCACCCAAGGGACGGAAGTACAGACCGCCCAGTAACTGAGCTGCTGCTGGGAAAGCAGCCGACGACCGCCCCCGGGATTTCAGGGCCCAGCCCCCCGGCCCCTGGAGCCTCTTGGGGGGCGCCGGTAAGGCTCTGGGGCACGAGGCCGCCTGGAAGGCGGGCGACCTGGGGCACGAAAGTCATTGGGAGGCGGTTGAGTGGGCCGCTAAGACCTCTGCAGACCACCCCTGTAATCCGGCGGCTGAGTGCGGCTGCTAGAGCGGCCTCTGGGCCTGCTGGGAGTGGGCACAGGTCTGCGAAGACCCGAGAGCTGCTGCCTGGTCTGCCTAGCTTGGGTGGCACGCTCCAGTGCCTCCAGGGCAGCTGACCTAAACAGCTCCCCTGGCTCGACTGGTACGCTACGGAGGACTCTCCTACATGCCTCCGTTAGTGGTGACTGGGCCAGCGAAACCTGGCGACGAGTCTGTACCAGCAACAAGGCGTCCTCATACAGAGGTGCGTCAACCGAAGTAGGTGCGTCAGCCGAAGGAGGTGCGCCAACCGAAGGAGGGGCGTCAACCGAAGGGAGGGGGGGGGGGGGGACAGGCGGCCCGCTAGCAGCCCCTACACCGGGCCCAGGCTGAAGGGCCAAGAGGCGACTTCATCATGCCCCTATCGGCAGCTAGCCGATCCACTTTAGAGGACAGCCTGTTTCTAGTCCTTCTATTGGGGGGAGCACACATAGCCATCCCCCTCAAGGGGACCCTCAAGTCGCCGGGAACGGCCGAATTGATCTGGAGGAGGATGTGACAAGGAGAGGTGTCTGTTGGCTGCTGCCAGATGTTCCACCTCAGTGATTCTAGCCACTCTGAGCGCCCGAGGCATGCAGCTACAGCTCATGCAGGCGTTTACCGTGAGAACCTCCCTCAGATGCTCACATTTCATCCCCACTGACCGCCAGAGGCGGCCGAGGCAGGAGGGGCAGCGGTCGTGGCCGTCCTCAGGCTCAAAAGAAGCCATACAGGCGCTACATGAATGAGCCATTCTGTAGGTAGCCAGATGCAGCGTAGCCGGGAGCGGGTGCGGGAACACAGCCTTCACCAGCTACCTGCTTAATGGAAAGAGTAGAGCGTTGCTGCTACTCGCCGAACAGAAAGAGGGATGTAATTACACCCACGTTACCGGCAGAGGGAGCGGGAGCGAGAGCACTGCCTTCACCTGGCTGGATTAATAAACACGGCAGTTCAGCGTCTCCCAGGAGCGGGGGCGAGAACACTGCCGGCTGAGTTAGAGACGAATGCCAGATGCAGCATAACCGGGAGCGGGTGCGGGAACAGAGCCTTCACCAGCTACCTGCTTAACGGAGAAACAAGGCAGTTCCGCGTCTACCAGGAGCGGGGGCGAGAACACTGCCTTCACTGGTTGAGTTAGAGACGAATGCCAGATGCAGCGTAACCGGGAGCGGGTGCGGGAACACAGCCTTCACCAGCTACCTGCTTAACAGAAAAACAAGGCAGTTCAGCGTCTACCAGGAGCGGGGGCGAAAACACTGCCTTCACTGGTTGAGTTAGAGACGAATGCCAGATGCAGCGTAACCGGGAGCGGGTGCGGGAACACAGCCTTCACCGGCTACCTGCTTAACGGAAAAACGAGACAGTTCAGCGTCTACCAGGAGCAGGGGCGAGAACACTGCCTTCACTGGTTGAGTTAGAGACGAACGCCAGATGCAGCGTAACCGGGAGCGGGTGCGGGAACACAGCCTTCACCGGCTACCTGCTTAACGGAAAAGCGAGGCAGTTCAGCATCTACCAGGAGCGGGGGCGAGAACACAGCCTTCACCAGCTACCTGCTGAACGGGAAGAGTAGAGCGGTGCTACTACTCACCGAACAGAAAAAGGGATGTAGCTACATCCGCATTACCGGTAGAGGGAGCGGGAGTGAGAGCACTGCCTTCACCTAGCTGGGTAAAATAAAGAAGCTTAACAGTACACGTAAGACGTTAGCCGAGCGGCTGCTGCTAACGATCAAGCGAGATCAAGTCAAATAACACACATGTTTAAGACCAGATAACTAGCTTCTAAAGAAGAGAACAGCACAGAGCCGTAGTTACAGCAGTAACCATGGCCAGTACTTGCACGGCTTGGAACCGTAGTTACAGTAGTAACTATGGCCAGTACTTACATGGCTTAGAACCGTAGTTACAGTAGTAACTATGACCAGTACTTACACAGCATAGAGCCGTAGTTACGGTATTGACTATGGCCAGTACTTGCACGGCTTGGAACCGTAGTTACAGTAGTAACTATGGCCAGTACTTACGGCTTAAAACCGTAGTTACAGTAGTAACTGTGGCCGGTGCCTAAAAGTGTCAGCCAAACGGCTGCCCACTAGATAATATAATATTGGGAGGATGAAATCCTAGGAGCAGTAAATACAACGATATAGCGCTACTGCAACCATTCCATGCGTTTACCGAGAGCGGGAGCGAGAGCACTGCCCTCACCGGCTGAGTTAAATAATGAAGCTTAACAGTACATGCAAGGTGTTAGCCAAGCAGCTGCTGCTAACAATCAAGCAACCAAGTCAGAACACAATGTTAAGACCAGATAATTAGCTTCTAAGAAAGAGAACAGCCCGCATAGAACCGTAGGCCATGGTTACAGTAGTAACCGCACATGCAGAGCACACAGCACCCGCAGTGAAGATGTTCTCTGCATATCATCCTAGTGCTAGGAGTCTAGTACTAGGAGCAGTAATACAACGATCTAGCGCTACTGCAATCAAACCCTATGTTACCGGGAGCGGGAGCACTGCCCTCTCCGGCTGAGTTAATAGTTAAGCTTAACAGCAAGGTGTTAGCCAAGCGGCTGCTGCTAACAATCAAGCGACCAAGTCAGAACACAAATGTTAAGACCAGATAATAGCTTCTAAGAAATAGAAAGTACTTACCTTACTCTCTGCATCTAAACGAAAAACGGGTGTAAAATATGACACTCTGGGCTTTCCATACTAAATTGAATGAGGGACCCAGCCAAAGCTGGGACTCAAATGCTAATGATAGCTCGGGCACAACGCCACAAGCAGAACTTTC